TGGCCCGGGCTTGGTTTTATCCCGTGGGACTCAACGTTGCCCGAGGCAGGAGGAGACGAAAGAGGGGTACGTGCGTCGTGTGCGGCGTTCGAGCGTTGCACCTGCGGTTCGAGACCATCTTGCTCTTACCTTAGCATCTCCCAGATCGTCCGACGCCTCGCGGGGCGCAGCTTCTCGCTCCGGTACTCTCTCGACTCTATAATGGAGATTGGGCATATACACGTTTTGCAGCTTACACGGTGGAGTCAAACTCTATGGTAACGGCACGTGCAAATTTTATGTCTAGTAATGATGATGCGACGAATTTCTTTTTGCCTTTGTAATTTCCTAAAGGTTTTTTAGTTGTCTCTTTATGAGTATTATTTTGTCTAAATAGAGAATGATTTTATATTATGCATGGAAAGAAAGTATAATCTTTTTTAAATATTTAAAAAGATTACAATTTTTATGTAATATTTTTAGTGAAAAGATTAAATTTTACTTAACTTGTTAACTTTATTTTCTTTTATTGTACATAAAGGATTAACAAAATTAATAATGCATAAGATATTTTTTCCAACTGAATTTTAAAAAAATTATGGCTACAATTATGGCTTTTATTGCTCCTATTAGGAAGAGCGAAAAAGCAATAAGCTGATAATTAAAACCAAAAGATTATTATTATTTTCAATATATATATTACTAATCGATTTTGTCAATAAACAAAAATCGATTTTGAAAGACAAATCAAATGCATCAAGTTTGGCGTTAGCGACATATCAGTTAATTCCATGATTTCGAGTTCGCATCTGTGGCAGGATTTCTCGACTTCGAATTTCACGCCAAGCTACCGGCTTAACACCTCGACACGCCGCTCAACCATCTTCGATCCTGCATCTCCCTTCGACTTCGCCCTCCTACATAAACACTCAGAGAGAATCGCGGAGTAGAACGTCGGAATGACGATCTTTCAAGAGAAACAAGGTGCTTCGGCACCGTGGTTCCGAACGACGGAAGATAAACAGAACTTAATGAAACATTAATCGAAAACGCACAGATTAGACGCTTGCAAATCTTCCTGCAAGTGCCAGAATCATCCTCGCAGTAAGACGACGAAATCTTTAGATTTAACGTGTCAATAAATATGCTGAAACTATTATGTCGGTGTTAATTAGATTTAATAAATAATTAAATTGGAATTATTATAGGATGTACAATGCTTTAAACATCAAACTAGACACTAGATTTAAATACTAAAAATAATCTTCAGCGTTTAGTTGCAATCAATTTCTCGATGTATATCTCGATAGAATGGGAAATAAGGAAAGATTCATCACGCGAAAAGACGAGAGAAATCAAATCTTTTATTGCTTGACGATCACTTGGATTTACGAGAAGATTGAATTTCGGTTATGCATGCAATACATAAATCTTCATTGTAAGGGATAGTCTGTGTAAATGTAATTCACATATGTTCTGTTTTCGTCCTTAAAATATGCAACTATTTCGTGAAATCGAGCTTTTGGACCAGCTCCGAGTAAATATTGTATCGAAATGGTATGGCGAGAAGAGTATTGCGGTCTCTCGCGGACAACTTTGTTCGACGTTCGAGTTTCCGACTCGAGCCATGACTCTTGGTGCAACCGCACGATCTCGTCTGTGGTTACGAGTGGGATCTAAATTAATGGATTGGAGCACAGTATATTTTCTTGTAAAGGACAGAAGCTATTGATCTTAAGAAAATATGTTTGACTCTGAAAATCGTGATTCCGGTCCATATCCTTCTTGCATATCCTTAATCTCTATATATAGCCGTAGTTTTACTTCATTAATCTCCTGCTGGTCTATTTGAGTTTATTTGACCTAAAATGTAATTTACTTTCTTACTAATATTTTATTTTAAAATGTTTTATTTAACATTTGATAACCTCGTTCATTAATATAATGTCCTTTTTATCTTTTATTTTTTAGAGTTTTATAATCATATTGATCTAAACGATCACATAGTAAATAATCGTATAATAAATTTGAAGAGATCAGGAGAATTAATTTTAATTAACTTTATCTTACTTAAATATTATAAAGTGATGTGATTAACGATATTAATGTGAGGGTGCAATCGTCCTTAAGAATTCAAACTCATTTTTAATATGCTCGTATTTTCTCAATTTTCATGGGAAGATAGAAATAATTTTGTTACATCGCGCAAGAGTGCGTTTAGTGATGCACATTTTCTCGTGCGTGAGAAGTGAGCATTCCCGTCGGACTTAAAAAGGGCGCTGCCAACCGTGGAATAATTCGACATATCGTACGATAATCCGCAGTGTCACGCGGCGCAGGGTGGATAGAAAGGTGGAAGTACCGAGGGTGAGACGACGTGAAGGGATGAAGCGGAGTAGACGCATCGATATATACAGCGAGGATTATAATAAGCCGTGCCGCGCTCCGAAATTTATTTCGTTCTCCATTAATAACTATGTTCTAGAAGTCTGAAAGGGCCAGCGTACCAGCACCCTTTCGCCACGCGACACTCATTACCACCATAGCTCAGGGTGGCCCTTCGAACCCTGTTCACTTTTGAGAGATTTAGACGGTTACCTCGAGAACGATTTTGTTCTATTAGGTGTTGGAATTAATTCGTAGCGTTTTTAATGAAAGAATGTTATTTATTTCACATGAGCATTAAAAAATACATTAATGAAAGTACTTCCCATCACTTGTAAAACGCTACGAATTAATTCCAACACCTAATATAATTTTGTACGCGTCTAATCCCCGATAAGCTTTTTGATGAATAATGATCTTTTTAAACCGCATTAAAATTGTTCAAATCATTTTTACATCCCAGTCATTTAAAATCTTTTTGTTACTATTTTTTTATCCTATTTCCTTCGAAAATATATATACATACATGTATATATATATATATTAAATTTTTGTGTTAATTTAACAACCTGAATGTGTTAGAAAGTAACAAATATCGTATAAAAAAAAGATTTAACATAAGAAATGTAATACTTTAATATAATTTAAGAACAAAAAAAAATCATGGAAGCATATTTCTTTAGTCGAATTTAATATAATATGTTAAATTAATACGTATACTCGTCTTTTATTTATTTATCTTAGAATTTATATTAAACTACTAAAATGGGGTAATTTTGATTCAATCGGAATAATTTTGGCTTAAATTTTAAAAAGCATGCATATTTAAAATGACGACGTAAGATGTTTTAAAATATATTAAGATATTTTTAAGACGTCTTATGTCTCGATCTTGACATATGTGCTGTCTGAATATTATCCAAATTTGGGCCAAAGTTATCCCAAAGGTATATTATTTTTATGTTATTTGTGATCACTTATTCATAAATTATTATTTTGACACCAAAAACTGTTAAATATTAATTTAAAATCAAATATTCAAATAACATAATTATATTACGTTAACAGTAGTGTTAAAAATTTCAACACGAATTGATTTTAATACAAGTACAGTATGTTTTTTCACTGTATATACAGAACTTTAATAATAATGTACATATTCTCCAAGATGATCTGAAAAGCTTTAGTCGTTATTCGTTGTCGATTTGTCGGCAATGTCGTTATCTCCGCTCGTTAATAATCCGATCCACGATCGGCTTCATTTTCAGTGGCGCCAGTACTTCCCGAAAACGATCTCGTTAGCGTGTACCGATCGTTTCGCGTTTCCGCAATCGAGGTATCGCGGTCAACGTTGCTCGTTAGAAGCGCTTTTGCTTCTCGAGTAACGTTCAATCGTCTAATTAGCCCACTACTCAGCTAGGATGCTGAGGGGGTACTCGATGCGGCACCGACCACATTTTCGATCGATGCTTCGATACTCATCCTAGTAATTTACTTACCGCGATAATCGCTCTGATGATGATTACGCGCGACTCATTGTCCACGTGAGCGATTTCGCGTAGTCCCTTATCTTCCTAGCGAAACTAGTATTTTCGAGAGGCGACTGGAGAGAGAATGCATCAGGGACTGTAAGACAATGGAGGAACGCGAGAGTCAAGTTTGTTGAACTATAATGCCGATCGCGATGTGTTGTAGTGGCGAGCGTATATGAGAGGCGTTGATTGCGATTACTCTCGCGGGTAATTATGCAATGTGGTACGTTCGCGAAATGCAAACGCTCTCTTATCGTTGCTCTGTTACAGCCAATCCATGCATCGCGTATCTCCGAGTGATAATAACTCGGCGTACTGAGTAGCTTAAGTTCTACCGATATGGTTCCTGGCTTCGTTTGAGTGTATACATAAGTATCAGCGGATTTACCTATCCACTGATTAGCTACGTATCTTAACTAAATATGTTCCCACGATTGTGACGCTTACAGTTGGCCTCGAACAATATCTTTGGGGAATATATGCCATTATTCCAACGCTATCATTTCGGTGCATTTCAGCAGAGAACATGCGCGTAATTCATACGATTGAAATTGTAATTAAACGTTTAAGAGGATAAAGCTTAACCATTCTGCCCATACATAACGTTTCGTAAGAAATTAATAATGCATAGATTCACACGATCCCTAAACGTTTTCCGATGGATGTTTAGAGTGCAAATGCTTCTTAAATATATCAATGCTGTGCAATCGCTGGCAAGCGAATAACTCGGTCAATTCCGGTTGTATTATCACTTTTCAAGTATCTCAATGGAACTAGTTCATTCGGCAGCTTACGCCTCGTTAGTACCGAATAGGCGGCAGCATTATGAAGCAGAACGCTTCAGTGGAATGAAGTGTTTGCAGTCATTCAGAATGCATTCATCTGATTTTGAATCTTAACTAGTCAAATGAACAAAACTACATATTGTGTTGAAATATAAGAGAGTTGAATGGGTGAGAATTAAAAGATTAGGGGATTTAATTAAAAATGTGTAAGCTTTAAGAATAAAATTCTTCAACAAACTGTGTTGCTTAAAATTAAATTCGTGCATGATATTGATATTTATGAAATATATTATTATATATAAGGTATTTCTTCTTTCAGTGTAGTAAAGCCGGTTGCGGAAGAAAGTTACGTCCGACGAATCGAATTCACGGTGCAAATTGGTGCGTTGGGAAACAGGTATTTATAATAATAGAGTGTAATAGCAAACGTGCAATTTGCATGCTGCACGTTATGGACAGCGAGAATGCGGGGCATAATGTATAAACTTTAATTACGTCGCTTTAACTCGAAATTAGAATTGTACTTAAGTTTTAATTGGATCGATTGTCATTGTTGCAGTAAGGTAAAGTTGTGCATTATTATTGGCTTTTCAATTTTAGAACACTACAATGCGTTTATATTCCACCGAAACTATTATACAGTTAGCGGAGTTTATAATAAACATAATAAAGTTATGTGAATTGTTGGCTCGCCTTAAAACATCTCGTGATATTATCGCGTCAATGGGGAAAAAAATCGGAATCGTTCATGAAAAAAAAATAAATTATATACTACGTCGCGAATTGAAAGGCGGCAGCCTCTCGTCTGCGAAGAATGTCCTATATTTTTCATGCGCGTCAACTTCGAAGACACCATTATATGCTCACGTTGGTTTCCGTTTGTGCGCGGAAAAATTGCGCCAGACGGCAAGACGTGTTTCAGTTTTCGATCTAAGAATAGGAGTCTATTTTGAAGCCGTACCGATTTCCATTTGCGCTACGAGAAAAACACGCAATGCGGAAAAACGCATTTCCCTCCTATCTAGCTACGTCCATAAAACTAGAGATAGCTGTATCCAATTTCAAACAAATTCCTTTTTTTCATGCGTGTCAATATCGAAGATTCTATTCTCGAGTCGAGTATTGATTTCCTGATAACGCGCAAAAAAAGAATATGCAGAGAGAAAAAATGATTGCAATTACTATAATTTAACTATATAATTTGTAGTTATTTCCGGTGCCAGTTATATATGTTTTTGATGAAATTATATATATTAGATTTTACTAATATTATAGTAATAATAATTATAAAAACGCTTCTATAATCATATTTATTTTATTCTACCGCGCAATTATAATTACAAATAGCAAATATTTTTGTTTTATGTGCAGAATATAAATAAAAAAATGTTTTGATTACTGTAAAGAGAGGATGATTTTGCTAAATTTCCTAAAAATTTAAATATAAATCTGAAAATAATTATGTAGGACGCTCAAATTTGTTGCTAGAATATCTAAATTCTTTGCAGTATTGCTTATCATGCTAAAATTTTCTATATAAATATTTTAATGAACTAAAAAAATTATTTTCAGGTCCGTATTTAATTAAATTTTTACATGGAAAGAACGGTTTTACTGAAGTATATCTAAAAATTTAGCTTATAGATACAGATCTGAAAATAATTCTGTTGGACCATTAAAATAATTATGTAGGATGTTCGAATTGTTTGCTAGAATGTCAAAATTGTTTGCAGTATTATTCAGCATGCTTGAGATTTCTATATAATTATTTTGTTTAGTTTTAACAAAGTTATATTTTCAGATTTGTAGCCAACTAAATTTTTAGATACTTAAGCAAAAGTAGATATTTCAATAATAATCTTTTCGGATAATCTAGCCGAATTTATTTTTATTTCCAAATATACTTCCTATTATTAATTTGTATGTTAAGCATACGGGAAATAATTACGTCATACTACGCATTAAAAATTGAAGATTGTGATGAATTAGAGATTAGAATTCGATCAATCTTATAATTTTAAATTTAATCCATTTTTAGTTGAATTCTAATCTCGAATTTGCATCCTCAATCTTCATGATATAGTTTGACACGGATTTAATACTTCGCTTCAAAATTGATAGCGATTTTCTGTTTGCGTCCAACAAGGAGAGAACAATGCGGAAAAATTCGCTTTCGATTAGTGATAGATGCGCTAGACATGTGTGATTCTATCATCAAAATCAGAACGCGCTTTTGGTCGCGGCGCATAATCTGGAGAAACGTGCCACCGTAAAATACTGGGCTGTCTTACGTTATTGCACATGACGGACGTGTTTCGCCGACGTTTTCGCGGTGCCGCCGCATCGCGGATCGACAGATGCATACTTGCCGTAGATATTGTCTCTTGTCTGAAGCAGCTGGCCGGGAATATTGAAATATTAGTAGAATATCGATGAGAGAGGCGGAAGGTACGGCGTGAAGCGGCGCGGCAAAGCGGAAGAGTCGCCAAAATTCGGTTACGGCGCGGGCGGCTTGCCGCGGGCTGACCAGTTCACAAAATTTCGGATCGTGATGATTATACGACCGACGACCGTTCCACATAGACTACGCGCCATGACGCATCTTGTTCCTTTCTATCAATGTAATTTCAATTTAATCTTGATTACTAACTCTCTCTTGATAACTAACTCTTCATTTTTTTCTAGTTCTAATAATTAGAAAAAGATAAGTAAATTGAACCGAGACGTTAAAGTCAATTCATATTGATAGAAATTGGCATGAGTTGCATTATAATTTCTCTTTCTGTTTCTCTCTTTTACTTGGGCATTTTCCTGCATTTCTCATGTTTAATTATTGTACTTTGCTTACTTATTTTGATCCAGTTCCACAACTCTAAAAAATTATTAATTTTAATCACGATTTAATCTATTCTTTATCTTTTTTTTCTAATTTTAATAGAATTATATAATAATAAAAAAAGAATAAGTTATATATAAACTGAGATTAAAATTAATCTTACAGCTGTGGAATTAAGTTTTAGTTTTTAACACATTTTTGTATCTATAGTTTTTGTATCATTAACTCTATAATCAGCGTTATTTTTTTATTTTTAGCTTATATGTTTTGTTTTACATTATTTTTTTTTATATTCTTTTATATTCTTTGAATCCCGGTTGAGGGAATATTTTTCGCAATTTTAAGATGATTATTTGCAGCAATAGTATTAAATTGCTTGTTAAATTGCTTAATTTAATTCGTGATATTACTATTACACTTCAGTTTAAAACTGTGTTCCAAGATCGACAAATAATCGGCGCACCAAATTATCTTGAACTAGAAATTGTATAAATTACAAGAAATATTAGGCACAAATAAAGAACTGTCTTAAATGAAGATGACTTCTCATGTGAGTTTTATATTCTTGTTTTTGTATTTAATATTTATATATAGTGCTCGAAAAAATATTTTGCTGAAGCATTTAATAAATAATGATTTCCTTCTCTCTCTCTCTCTCTCTCTCTCTCTCTCTCTCTTTCTCCTTACTTCTCTCTATCTCTAGTCAAATTTTTTAGACAGACGCACACTTGTTGCGAAAGCATTGTTCGCAGCAGACTGTGCGGAACACCGGCGACGGAGAGCTAGAATGCAAATCAGGTCGTCGCTCGCGGCGCTCCGATTAGTGCCGACGATCGATCGAGCGGATTTTAATTATTAAACGCGCGTTTAGATCGCCCGTGAATGGCCGTACATATCATCGCCGAAGAACCTTCAGAGTGCTGTTTGTTTGCTAGGAGCAGCATGCTTTGCATTCACGTTATGACGTATTTGGAGCTGAAGAGATGATGAATTTGTAAAATCCGTTAACCTTTAATACATGATGCACATAATTTTCCGATCCTTTACTACACATGATGGGTTCTTCGTATTCTTGGGTTAATTTTCATCATTTTTATATACAAAAAATATTAAGTAATTCTTACATATATATAATTCTTAAATACATATATAATAATTCTTAAATAATTTTTGCTTTAACATCTTTAGAAACTTCTAATAAGCCAGCAGAACCAAATAAGTAGAATCAAACCTATTTAATATTTTAATATTCATTTTAGAAAATATTTGTAAAATTATGTATTAAAAAAAGAAAGAATAAAGACCATTATTTAGCCAAATGTTTCCTAATATGTTAAAGAAAAAAAGTATGCAGAATGACTTAATTGTGCACTTTTTTTAAATTTTTTAATAGAATTTTAATAAAACTCTTTAATAGAATCCTAACTAGTTTTATAGTGTAATTAACGGTTGATGAAATGTTGAAAAAAAATACGAACATCGTGACACAGATAATTTTCCTTAATCGTAATACGTTCTGTAGAAGATTATTGCGAATGTCAGGAGAGATTGTCGCTTGAACACCATGTTCGCCTGATCTGCAAACGTGAACAATGCGCAGATGGTGCGATTTCCGTCAATGGATAATCTTGTTGATTTCACAAGATACCGGTGTAATCGCGCCGTGCACATTGCGGACGGGAGAACTCTATTGGATTCGGCTATGTCCTTTGTTTCCCCTGACTTGCGCGCATATCCCCGGGACAAAGAACCAACTGTTACTGCTTTTTAGAAGTACCTTCAAAGATCCTAAAACCATTACTTTGTACTTGTAAAACCATTATTGTCTCTACATCCAAGAAAATGTCGCGTTCAATCAAAATTTTCCTCGGAAAAATTTGTCTCGAAATTCGTCAAAGGACTTTTCAACGTTCGTGCACATTATTGCCAATATTTTGTTAGAGGTATTTTGTTACATGGAATTACTGCAAATGAGCAGAATATTTTTTTGTAAGCATAATTGTTGAAACGTGCTCGCACAATTCACAAACTTCACTTTCCCGCGGGCTTAATTTTCCTACATTCAAACTTGCATTTAAAATGCAGATTTATGGTAATGGCCGTGTGTAAAAAGAAAGACGTAGACGCAACTTGATTATCTCGATTTACTTAATTTCATTAACGATTTACCTCTTTTCAGTCTATGTAATCCATATAATTATAACACAGAATGAAAAACTTTGAGTCAGAACGTCCTGTAATTCGAACGACAGATGTGATATTGAATATCTAATAAAAATTAAAATATAAAAGGAATGAGGAATAAGGCAGAATAACTCTTGTATTTGTTGGATATATATTTGAATATGCACTAAAATTTGTTATATATTATTATACAAGCATGTTCATGTAAGATGTACGATATACACTACATAATATGAATACAAAATAACAAATAGACAAAATAAATGAAATAATATGAACACTTAGGCAATACACTATTTATTATATCTTTTTATAATAAGAGCTTATGATTAATCACTCAATGCTCGAATAGTTATCAATGAAATGTACTCTTTTAG